CAACAAATTACAGAAGATTTGTATAACAACATTCTATATTAGTTCCGTAAATTACAAGTACAATACATAAATTTATGGAGAGATAGTTAATTCTTATGTATAAACTAAACAAATATATTATGTAAAAGTTAACTTACGTAATGATTAATATATTACGTAAAGCTTACGGAGGGATAGTCACTTCTATGTATAAAATAAACGAACATATAATATAAGCCTTTCGTGATATAATTTTGAACACAATTTTCTCTATTATTTACTAAACTATCGACTGTATCATAAATTTGCATTACGCAAAGACAGAGAAAGTCAATTATTTTTAATGATTGTAATCAAATGTGATATTTTTTTAACTTAATTCTTTCTGAGTCTTCCATGATATAATTTTGAACACAATTTTCTCTATTATTAACTAAAATGTCGAAGGTATCATAAATTTGCATTACGCAAAGGCTCAGAAAGTCAATTATTTTTAATGATATTGTAATCAAATGTGATTTTGTATCTTAATTCGTTAATTATCAACTAAACTTTGATCTATTATTATTTATTTTATTATAAAATTGCATTACGAAAAGGTTCTTTTAGATAAGTTCAGTTTGACACAATAGTTCAATCAAATGTGATTATATTTTTTAACTTGATTTTATTATTAGACAACAAATTACAAAAAATTTGTATAACAACATTCTATATTAGTTCCAAATTATTGATTTCAAACTAAATTATTAAAATAAGTTTCAAATATGTTTAGTTTATCACAGTGAAGCGCGGATAAAAAACTAATATATATAAAAAGCCTTTGCCATATTATATATATAAAAGAGGGTTACTATTTGCCGCCCAGGCAATTACTATTTGCCGCCCGTAAAAAACACTAAAAATACAATTTTGCCCTCCAAATATTTTTTTGTATTCTATTCGCTGAAATGGTTTTTTATACACACTACCCGAGTCCCGACCACCAACCCCCTAAAAAAACCACAGCCAGATTCACGGCCACCGGACGGCAGCCAAACTCGCCGGCCACCGGACCAATCTCGTCAGGATAATTCGCCGGGCACTGGACGGCAGCCGTACCCCGTCGTCGGACCAGCGAAGCAGGTAAACCCCACTGATCCTGGATTTTTTTGTCGGTCCGCTCGCCGGCGTCGGTCGCCGTCAGATGCCGGCGAGCAGACGGGGTCCGACGCCGGCGAGCGGACGGGGTCCGACGACGGGGACCGGATGCATGGGCAGTGTCATATTTTTTTCTATTTTATTTCTAGAGCTAATAATTTATATTTAATTTATTGCTTTTATTTCTATTTTACATAGTTAAATTCCTATGTAGTTTGAATTAAGCGATTGTATTTTGTTGTAGCGCTAATTAGTTTCTTACTGTCAAATTATTGTTATTTTGTAGAGTTAATTGAAGCACAATTAGTTTAATTAAGAGATTGTGTTTTGTTGTAGCGCTAATTAGTTTATTGTGTTTAGATATAATTCGTAGAGCTAAAGAAGTTTAATAATTTATATTAAAATAATTTTCTTATCGTCAAATTATCATTATTTTTTAGAGTTAATTAAATTATTGCATTTAGTTTAATTTTGTAGAGTCAATTGAAGCACAATTAGTTTAATTAAGTGATTGTGTTTTGTTGTAGCGCAAATTAGTTTATTGTGTTTAGATTTAATTCGTAGAGCTAATTTGGTTTAATAATTTATATTTAAATTATCTGTATTTTTTAGACTAAATTAAATTATTGCATTTAGTTTAATTTTGTAGAATCATATAATTTATACATTTATAACGAGTTGTAAAATCATAATTGCAGGTGGACATGGCTGACAATGTTGAACTAATTGGTGATTACACATACCATTTTCTCAATGGCGTCCGATATGCCAATTTCGAAGATGCTGTAACAGTGACCAAAAACATCGCGATGTCTCTTGGTTTCTTTCTAACTAAGGGATCGATGAAGCCACTTGAGTTGATCAACAAAAGAGTATTGGGTATCTGTTATATGTATTGCGACAGATGCAGTAGGGAGAGGAAGTCATACAAGCCGGATCCTTCCAAGGAGAGTCGTGGCAATACAAGTTCAAAAGGAGCAGGATGCATGTTCAAGATTAAAATCAAAGAACTACTGGTTAATCCAGATGCTCTTGATGGACCTTCATTCTGGGAGATACAAGGAGTCGCGGAGCAAGGAACCGGTTTAAGGCGAGGGTATCACAATCATGAGAAGATGCTTTATCCCGAGGGCCACAGTCAAATGAATAAATTGAGTCAGGAGGATAAAGAATCTCTTAGGCAGATGAGAGATGCTGGGGTACCTCCGTCGCAACAGAAGCAGACAATAAACAAGCAGAAGGGTGACAAAGGGCATCACACCCAAAGGCAGATGTATAACCTCGGGTCCAAGTCTAGGAAAGACGAGATGGGCGAGATGAATGCAGTGCAGTATGCGTTGCTAGAAGCTGAACGTGAGAATTATCATACAGAGGTTATGAAGGACGATGACGACGTGCTGACACATTTTTTTTTGCCCATCCAACTTCCATCCAGATGTTGAAGGCTTGGCCGTACGTGATTCTGATCGACTCAAAGTATAAGACCAATGCATATAAATGGCCGTGGGTGGAGGTCGTAGGTGCTACTCCAGTTGGGAAGAATTTCAACATCTGTTGTGCTCTCATGAAGGATGAGACAAAAGAGTCGTATCTGTGGCTGTTGCAGTGCATACAACAATTGCTCCATCCACGCGTGCCTACTGTCATCGTCACCGACCACGAAGGTGGACTACTTGCTACGGTTCCTGTGGTCTTCCCCCGCACCCCGCATTTGCTATGTGTTTGGCACATCAACACCAATGTGCAGAAGAAGTGTTTGGAAATATTTGGGAAGGATAGGATGGATTTGGTCAACGAGGCGTACGACCAATATTGGTGTCCTATGCTTTATTCTTGGTCAGATCAAGGTATGTTGGCCGCGTTTGGCCGCTTTAGGACAAGATGGGGCAATCAAGAACCACGTCTGTTGCAATACATACAGGGAGTGTGGTGGCAACATCGAGAAAAGTGGGCTGTTTGTCATACAAAAAATGTGTTTCATCTAGGAAATACGAGCACAAACAGGGTTGAGTCGTCACATTCCGCTTTGAAGACTTTCCTCCACAACTCGCGGGGATCTATGGACACTGTATGGAAAGGAAACCACCGCTACATTACTAACCAACTCGGGGAGGTTAGGATGATGTTGGAAAACTCTAGACAGAAAACCCTTTCAGCATCCGGTGGTACACCATTCACATACTTGAGAAGGAAGGTCAGCATGCAGGCAATTATATTAATGAAGGAGGCTGAAGAAGAATTGGCTGCCCGCTTGGAAAAAAATGAGAACTCCCGATGTGCATGTCATTTCTCTGTGACACACGGCTTGAGGTGTGGATGTCAAGTTATGGATGGCAGAGCGCGAGACATAGAGATATATCCCGGTGATATTCATATATATTGGCGGACACTGTCATACGAGCATCTACCCAATGCTCAGGAGTACGTTCCCCAGGAGGAGGAGGCTAGATCTCACCTTCAGGGTTTGGTTGATGAGGTTGTACGCAGGGGACCAGAGGCAACGAAAAAAGCAGCAAAGAACGTGTTTCGCAGTCTCCACCCGGCGGAGGACAACATTCACGAGCCAGAAGTGAACGAATTTAGAAAGGGGCGCCCAGCCAAAAAATCAACTGGAAGAATGAAAGGGTGGCGGGAAAAGATACTGCGAGGCAATAAGAAAAGCATGAAAAAGAAGTCGGGAAGCACAACGTCGGGGTCTACAAAGTCGACTGGTACCAAGTCCACGGGGACTCAGACAGACGAGTACCCGTCAGACGACCATGCAGCGGATGAGTGTGATGATCCAGAAGATAACAACAAAAACAACTGCTTTGACACAGGTACAATTTAATTTTTTCATAAGTGTAGTTATTTATATTAATATTCTACATCGCATTTGTGCTGATTACCTATTTTCTTCACAGATATCCCTGGACCCAGCAGCCCCCATTCCGATTACGCACACATGGAACTGCTTCCTGTCTTCATTCGGCCGCTTGTCATTGCCATCCACGACCCGGTGCCAGACGGTCATTGTGGGTTTCGTGCACTTAGTTGAGCAATTACTTGTTGTTTCATAGAGTAATTATGATACATACAATTTGTTATCTACTTAATATTTCGTTTGATGTTATCTACTTAATTTAATTAATCTGTTATAATAAATTATTAGATTAGCAATTTCTTCATAGTCATAATTTATCAATTACTAATTATGATACATACAACTTGATTATCTAATTAATTTATCAATTACTAATTAATTTAACTAGATAGTTAGTCAAATAATTATTTCAACTTACCCAATTAATAAACTAACACATTATATAATTAATTAACAATTATAATAATTTCAACTTACCCAATATATAAACTAACACATTATATAATTAATTAACAATTATATACAAATTAATCAACTATCAATATTAAACTAATTAATATAATAACAATTGTATTTAAAATAAATCTAATAAATATTTCTTTAAACCGAACCATTCAAACCGAATCAGAAACTCAATCAGACCGGTCCGATCAGACCGGGCGAACGGGGTCCGCTCCGACCAGGCGGACGGCGGCGAGACAGTATTAAAAAAAAAAATTACCTCGACGCCGACGACTGGAACAGCGGCGGCTTCGACTTCTCCTGGGCGGCGACTGCGAGCAGAGGGGGAAGGCGGCGGCGAGTAGAGGAGGGGGAAGGCGGCGGCGGCTTGCAGAGGAGGGGGAAGGCGGAGTCGGCGATCTTCTGAGGAGAAGTCTCGGATGGGGGAAGGCGTTGCAGGTGGGGTTAGGGTGGGGGTGGGGGTGGGTGGGTGGATAGATAGGGTTAGAGGGCAGGGACAAATTCGTCTTTTCTGTCCTAACTATGGGCGGCAAATAGCGATTCATATATAAAAAGCCTCTCATCACTCCTCAGCTGCTCTGGCTCACGGGGAAAGAAACATTATAAAAACTTGCAACTTGCCTTTCACTCTCTCACTCGCTCTCTTTTCCATCACCACCCGCTGGCTCGTGTCATATCATGCAGCCAGCCAATGTGTATAGAGTTGAGTTTATGGGCATAAAAAGAGGCGATTTCTCTCTTCTCGTCCCTTCTCTCTCGCCATAGCATTCGCAATCGCTTGTATTTTGCTTCTTCCTTTCCTCCAACTTTCTTCCTTAGCCAGCTCATTTCCTCTCTCTCTCTCTCTCTCTCTCTCCCTATTTGCTCTCCTTCACATCACCTAAATACCCACCAACCCACACTCTCTGTAGTCTCTACACTCTACTACCAGTTTCTAATAAATCCTTTCCAGTATCAGCTTGCCTGCCAGGATTTCTCCACCAGATCTATAGGCCAGCAAGGAAGAGGAAGAAAGAAGGAAAACTGGAAAAGAGATATCCCCGGCCCTCTCTTCTGACACCAGACGGCCACAGCCCCAGGCCCCTCTTCTTCTCCTCCCCCTTCTTTTCTATTTTATTCCCTCTTCACTTCTCTCTTCTTTTTCTAATAATACCCTTCGGTTAATTTTGTCTTTTCCTTCGTTTTTTCCCCTTCCTCGCCTGTCTGGGTTTGTCTGTCTGGTTTTGGTTTCCATACCCACACTCCAAAATCGCGTCTTTCACTTGATCCCGTCTCGATAATCCCCTTATCGTTTCTGGGTTTTGGTCCTTTTTTCGTTCTGGAGGTTGGAGGCGAAAGGTTCGAAAGATAGATCAAATGGCGAACGGTGGTGCGGTTGATGAGCGGAGGAAGAGTGAGACAGTGGTGTTGTTCAGTGAGGAAGAACTGAGGGAGATGAGTGGGGTGAAGCAAACCGGTGATTGCATAGAAGTCACGTGTGGTTGTACCAGCCATAGATATGGCGATGCGGTGGGAAGGCTTAGGGTTTTTCCCAATGGTGACCTCGAAATCTCCTGTGAATGTACCCCTGGTTGCGATGAAGGTTTCTCTCCCTTTCTTTCTATCTCCCCTTTTTCCTATTTGTCTTCTTCCTTCCTTCCTTTTGATATCTGGGTTTTAAATTTCATGCATGTTGAATGTGTCATCTGGTGTCGTTTTCTCCCACATCGTTTTAATCGAACGGCATTGATATATCTACCCTGAGTATCATCCCGGAGTGAACTTGTGTTTGTTTTTTACCTTATACCGGCCAAGTGTTCGCTGTATTGTCTCACTGAACCAACTTGCGCCTTGGTAAACCCCACCAGTAAGGTGCTTGCCAACCTACATTGTTGTAACTGTTCACTCTTTTCATCCTACTGAATGAGTGTTGAAGATTTTAGCTTTTTGGTTACCAAGTTTTGCCGTTGCTGTGTAGGCAGAGTAAGATCCTCTTGTCCTAAATGGCTAAATCTGTCAACCTTATGTTTTTCCTCTTCCCCTTCCTAAACTTTCTTTTAGATCGTGCTTCAGCTCGAGGATATTCTTTTTATTTTATTTTGATAGAAGCACAAGGAGTTTAGGATCAAACTTTCGTGCTACCTGCATCACTATATTCCGATGAGGCATTTTAGTGAACACTTTTCTCCCCCAGTTATTCTTTCTTGAAGGATCGTTGGGTCATCAGTCATTATTGGATCATGGGTGGGTTGGCTTCTTTCTGACGAAGCCATCATCTCCATGTTTCTTCGTCAAAAGTGTTGTGTACTTTCCTCTTTTTGAAACAGTGCAAAAGTCATGCCAACGGCGCCTACCTTCTAATTCTCTTTGGGAAATATCAAATATGTTTTGAGGGTTCCGCGTCTGATATAGGGGAGGTGACTTTAGTTTGAGAATACTGTTGTGACTAGAAGGTTATCTTACGCCATGCTACAAGAGTTGGTACGTGGCTCTGATGTCCATTTGGTAGAAGCTTCGGCTCTTATGCCATACTACAGGAATATGCTTTGGTATTCCAGTGGGAAACTAAGAAGGCCGATAAGTACTGCTGTATGGAATATACTATGGTCATAAAGTAAGCCCGGACCTGGCTACGGCAATCCTTATATGCTTTTTTGAGCTGGCCTAAGTCTAAGTTGTATACAGTATCTTGTTCCTTAATCGGAAAAAGTTTGTGCTATTGGGAGGCCGACCATCTAGCTAAGGCCTACTTCTATCCCCTGCTAACGTTTTCCTTCACAATTTCTAGCACATGGTAGTTGGTGCAGTTGCTTTCATTGATGCTAGATTTTAGCTTCATATCATGTGCATGTATTTGTACTTTATCCTTGCTCTAAGTTTTACGAAAACGCTTTCTCTTCTGCATGTGATTATAACTTTATCAACATTAAGCTGGACTTCTTGGTCCAAGAAAAAAAAAACATTAAGCTGGACTTCATATGATCTCTCTACCACACAACTGATCCTTTTTCATGCATCGGTGGGTGCTGTTAATGGTTGTGTAGATAAGATGAGTCCTGCTGCATTTGAGAAGCATTCTGGGAGGGAGACTGCTAGGAAGTGGAAGAATAATGTGTGGGTGATTGTGAATGGGGAGAAGGTTCCATTGTCGAAGACAGTGTTGCTCAAGTACTACAACCAATCATCCAATGGATCCCACCGCTCTCAAAATGGACGGGTTTTCCATCGCGATGAGTTTCTTCGCTGCAGCAAGTGCAACAAGGAGCGCAGATTCCGCTTAAGGACCAAAGAGGAGTGTCGAGTTCACCATGATTATGTGGCCAATGTTAGCTGGAAATGTGCTGACTTAACGTTTGACAAGTATGCCTTTCTCTCCTTGTTAAGTTGATAGTAGCTGTTTTGTTCTTTCCATTATGGTGAATGCAAAATGTTGGCGTTGTTCCATTAGATATAGATTTGTTATTTCCGTAATTATACAGTCCGTTCTCTTATGATTTCTGCATCCTTGACTCTGTTCTTGCAAGCCAGAGTCTCGTGATGTTCTTCCTTTGGGTTGTTGAAAGAATTGCGATTGCATGCTTTTTCCATTCTTTTCTACAGTTTTGCAGGTAGTTACCTTCTCTTGTCAACATATTAATTAAGACATTCTATGCTGTGAATATACACATATTATGACTTCTGCCTTTTTTCCTTGTGCATGGAAAATTATGACTTCAGTTGCTTGATACGAGAGTTCCATGAAAAAATGTGACAAGATTAAGGATATTGTTTATCTTAATTTGGTTCCTCATTCAATGTTGTCCTGGACTATATAAGTGGCAAGGATAATTTTTACCGAAAGGTTAAGTCTTTGTTGGAGATTTTTGTATGATCAGACCATAACTAGAGCCACGAAAGCCAACAGCTTTGGAGGTATTAACTAATTGGACGACAATTAATGGCATGGTTTCTTTTTCTTCTTTCTCCAATAATGGATTGTATGATCAGACCATAACCAGAAAACTATGAAAGTCTAATAACATTACATGTATATGTTTGCATGATTTATGACTGAGACTCGCCACATGGAAAAGGCTTAGGCTGACTGTTGGATGGGAGTTTGGTCCTTAATTAGGTGACCTTTTGTTTCAGTTTCTTCTACTGAATTGCTCGTTTTGGTGGCAGGCTAACGTGTGATGACGACGAGGAGAGAGCAAGTCGAAAGGTGTACAGAGGCTGCTCCCGCTCTCCAACATGCAAAGGATGCACTTCCTGCGTGTGCTTTGGCTGTGAAATCTGCCGGTTCTCTGATTGTTGCTGCCAAACTTGCACTGACTTCACGAGGAATGTGAAAGCTTGAAGAAGCCTTTTTACAGCATGACCAAGTCCGCCATCATCCTTTGATTTGATCCCATTCGTTCTACCATTATTTAACCACTATTTTTGGATGTCTATTTATGAACAAAACACAACTGCCATGCCAGCAGCAATATATGGCTGGCCAGCCTGTGATCTGAAGTTGAGGGAAGGATACACTCTTTTCTCGCAACAGTCTTTTGTTGGGCTCCAATGATTAGAAATTTTAATCCCCTTCACTTGTTATTGCCAATCATTTGCTACAACTATTTGCTGCTTCCTTAGCCATATTTCTTTCAACTGGTGCTGAAAAAAAGAGAGAAATCCGTTCGATTGACATTGAGGATTAATCTTGAATTGTCAAAAAATTGGAGGAAAGCTTGAATGGCGGAGAAATAAGGGCTAGTTTCTTGCGTTTCATTGTTTAATAATTTACTAAAATGAATGGTGTATTTGGATTATCTTTGAGGGAATTAATCTGGCATTGTCAAAAAAATTTGAGGAAGGCTTGAATGGTGCAAAAAATGTTTTAGCGGAGAGGTTGGTGGATTGGATTAGTGAACTCAAGTAGAATCTATACATTGGATTATTATGTCAATTTTGAAAACTTTTAGTATTAAAATGACATGATAAAATATTTTAGGTACCAAAATATAATTTTGGAATAATATTTTTCCTTAAAAATTAAAATTTTGTTGTCATAATGTAACATATTAAAATACATGTACTATACTCACAATTTTTAAATATTCATGAATCCATCGATTAACTTGGATTTACAAAGTTGGATCTTTCAATGAATGAATTGGATTGAATTCAAATTGCTACCTACCTCTGTGTATTTTGATTATCTGTCAAGGAACTTGTAATTGAGGAAATCAATGAATCATGCATTTTGAATTTTTGATTATTTTGCCTAGTGTTCTATTAAGAAAACTAGAATGATTAATAATAAATAATTTGTGTTTGCCATTAATCACATCGTTTATGTTAGTCGGTTATCCATTATATTGTCGATTAATCGGATAACTCTTAGACAAGTGATTCGTTAAGGTTAGACAAAAATAACCTATTAGTAACCTAACCAACATAAGATATCAATCCATAATCATATTTGTTGTTATCATTGAATAAAAGAGTTATTTAACATAGTTATCAATCCAACATCAACTCAATCCAACACAAGTACACAATCTACTTTCAAATTTAATTAAGAAAAGCATACAAGAATAAAAGACCAAGCAACAATTACTCAACTCATAAACCTCACCAAATTACATTAAATTTTAAATGTTGCTGATTGTTGCCGAGCTACTACGCTTGGGAGCGATCAGTAACCTATCGGTGAATAACTATGCATAACCCAATCAGAATCCACCACATCATCACCCCTCACTCTTATGGAAAGCCTTTAATCTTTAACAGAAGATTTCTCTCCCGTTTTAAGTTGAAATTTAAAAAAATTTTGCACAGATAAATCAGATTAATTGTGCTTTTCAAAATGATATCTAATTTGATATATTATTGGAACAAAAAATTTGAGGTATTTTTTACCAGTCCATACATTGGTGGTATTGATTGATATTAAAATAAGAGCATACCAATGGTATGAAAGTGTACCACAAGATACCACCCCTATACTAGAATGGTATAGTGTGGTATTTTTTGGTCCTGTGTTTTTTCACCCATAAATTTGTAGATCCAAATAGATCACGATGAACTCAACTTGTTCCTTCTGTGCAAATATTTTCAAAAGCGACTTAAAAGCAAGGAGATATCATATGGTGTGGAGTTTATAACGAGCGATATGGAATTTTTTTCCTCAAAAAGTATTGAAAATGAAACTCATTTTGTAGATCACAACGAACTAGTTCCCTCTGTGCAAATTTTTTTTTGAAATCCGAGTTAGAACGAAGAAGATAAGAGCCGATTAGGAAAACTAGTTAAAATTAAATGTCTTTAATTCACAACTCTTAGATTTGGATTTTTTTGGGACACTCAAATAGGAAGGTCCAGATCTCACTGCGCCCAAGTCCATCTTCTAGAAGTAGTCAATGATTTTGGTGCTAAATGTGGCATTTAGATAATGGCTTTTGGTGTTATATTTGGCGTCAGTGGACATGATTACTAAATGTTAGAGAATATTTATAAATATTTTGATAATTTTTTAATCACACAGATATACACATTTGCATATATAAGTTAATACTCGTTTCCAATACCAAGCTAAAAAAAACACTCAATAAATATTCTACTTTGAGTACTCGATGAAATAATATATTTCAACCAATTGCCACTAATGCCACAATAAAAGTTTTCAAATATCACAAATATTATGAAGAAAATAATTATTATAATGAAAAATAAACTCATACAACCAACCGATTGAGTATAAAGTTAGTCCATGTTTAAAAATGTTTTATTTATCTAAAGAATCACAATACATAATCGGCTTCATCTTCATTTAGTTACTCGTTTGAACCTACAAAATTTATTAACACAACAAAAAAAGATGAAATAAAATAGTGCATCGAATTGAATGTAGTCTCATAATTGTTGGGTCCAATTATACCGGATTAGCAAGAAATGTAAGGTTTAGATATTAATTAAATTAATACTTTCACAAAACTGAGTACTTATAGTTTGCACTTGGCACAAAATATCGGTACTTCATGGTAATTCTAATTTATACTAAGTTAAGAATTCTACATTGCTTCTACATATTTAATACTGTAATTCTTTGTGAAATATTCGAACCAATGATATTTTAGTTAAGATTTTAAAATTATTCACCATTGATAAGATATATGACTTGTCCCGAATACTATAATAAAACTCCCAATTAAGGCTCAAGTATAAACCTTAATTGTGAGCAATATATGGCAAGTATGTTTAAATGTCGAGCCGGGTCGGTTCATGTACCCCTACTCGATTGTTTGAAACATTATCTAGCGGTTGATTTTTAGTGAAAGCAACGATCTATAGCTAAAACGTTTGGAAAAGTAAATGGATTTGACACTAATTGAGAAGGCTTCACCCGGGTGTTGCTCCCCCTAGCTAACAATTATGATTTGTCGGATCAAATGGTCATGTGTGGTAGGGAAGTGCAACAATTAGCCAAACGCCACTCTCTCGGTCTCTAGGTTGAGAGAATTCGATTCAAGCCAACAAAGTGACTCTCTCGACCTATCGACTAAGGGTTGTCAAGACTTCACCCTCGAATCGGAGTTTGGACGGTCACTCACAACCAAACCCTAGGTGCTAACACGAAATATGATTGTTTCCCTACATTAACCTAGATAGGATACAATGAATAAAAAAAATCCAAACTACCACTGTTTTAACAAAAAATTACAAAACTACCACACAATCCGTGAAACACCCCAACCCGGCCGGGTACTAATTTTACTAAAATGCCCTTGATGACTCATAAACCAAAATAAGAAACGAAAGACTTGTGAAAAAAATGGAAGCTTTCCATAAATAACCATAACAAATACTGAAGTGAACTGAAATCTCTTAAAACAAAGCCCTAACACTTGGGCAAACCTCAACCATAGAATCTTAATCTGAATCTCCAGTCACTACTCATAATCGTAAATCAATAACTAAAACTCTACTTTGTTGTCTGCTCGGATTCGATCTCTGGCACCTCCAGTGATGCTTGTACTATCCTCCTCTAATTGGCTTGCCTCGAACAGCTTTCTCGATCTCGCTGCTCACTAACTGCTCCTCTAGCTGCAACTATCGATCTAGTTCTTGCTTATTCCTTTACTAAGTCCTGGTGAGTGAGATGGGGTCAGTCTACGCCCTTACGTTTTAATAATTCTAATACTTGAGTACTTTACTTAAACACTTGACTTTGGCTAGTGGAAGTTGTTTGTACTTCCAATCTTAAAATCTTAACTCTTAAACTTTGAGGGAGTTGAAGTTACTCTCCTCTCTTAAAGCTCAAATCTTGACTTAAATACTTGACTGACACGGGAATCCCTCACTAGCTAGTCCGGTTGCCAACTCATACGTATGAGAAGCCATCCAGGCTTTCCTTAAACTTAAACTTAGTTAGGGGAGTCGTAACGATTCATCCCCCTAACATCTTAAACTTATCGTGGTGGCTCTTCACCACGATTCTCAAGAGCATAACTGCTGCTCATCTTAAAAGTCTCAAGAGCATAACTGCTGCTCTATCTCAAAATGTCTCAAAAGGCAACAGACTGGCGCTAGTGACTAAAAACACTTAAAACGACTTCACCTTCTTGAAGGTGAGTTACTTCTTAAAAAGACCTTGTTTCTTACTCTTTAATAATAACTTATACTCGTAAAAATTTCAAAGTAATTAATAAACATTCACTTCAAGCACAGCTCAAACAAAATCACCTCAAACCGTAACTCAAGCAAAGCACAACTGATCAATCATACACATAACCAAGCAACGATAACCAATACGCTAAAATACTTAAAATCACAAAACATAAAAGAATACGTAAGGCGTAGAATTTACCCCCTTTACACTCACCTCACTATCCGTTGTCGCTTCTCATGGTAACTCGATATCCTTCATCTGAATGTTAAGACCCCTCTTCCTTCTCGACGCATGACCAGTTCTATACACAAGAGTTCAAGTAAGTGGTTTACATCTTGTGAAGCTTGCAGCCAAACCCATGAGTCACCAACTCCCCACGTGTAAGCAACATATATTGCCACCCCACAATTATCTCTACATGCTTCCCAGTTCACTTTTAACTACCTCGCATATAGATTTCCATCCAAGCATCCACAACCTTCCAACTCCTTTTCTCCAAGCTTCTTGCCTTCATAGTCTCGACCAACAGTAACTTGGAAGTGTCCAAATCATGAAGTTGCTCCCTCAATCGCGCAATCTCAGCATCTCTAGCCCCAGTTTGTATCTTCCTTCCCCTCCACCGAGTGAGTACCCACACAAAAGAAGAAGAACCCTCTTCTGCCAAAACCCACAATTGGTAATTTCTATTTTGTTGATCAACCTTTGCGATACCCTAAACCGAAAGCTGCAGCGAATTTGGAAATAGGGGAGGAGGTAGAACGCTCAGATCGGGACGATTCAAATGGCATTCCCGAATCCTTGCTTGAAGATGAAACCCTAGCTTCTCCTCTTTATTGGTTCGTCATTTTCCCACTCTAGAAATCTGAAGAAGAAGAAGAAGTTTCTCACACTAGGTCTCTCCCCCCTTTTTCTTTCAGCTCAACCTCCTTTATATACCCAGATCGAGCTCAGATCACGGTC